TCACGTCTCCGCCCCTGAGTTACACACATGCCGTGTCTGTGTTTCCCCTGTAGATCGGCCGGTACATCACGTCTCCGCCCCTGAGTTACACACATGCCGTGTCTGTGTTTCCCCTGTAGATCGGCCAGTACATCATGTCCCTGCCCCTGAGTTACACACATGCCGTGTCTGTGTTTCCCCTGTAGATCGGCCAGTACATCATGTCCCTGCCCCTGCACTTGGAGCCCTTTGTGACCCAGGAGGACCCGGCACTGGAGCTGGCTCTGCGTGCGGGAAAACTGCCCTTCCCGCCTGAGCAAGGTGAAGCCCCCGGCCCTATCGCAGCCAATACACAGTAATCCACAGTAATATGTCTACAAGTCATGGCTGGAAAAAATGCTATCATAAAATTATAAAAACTGCAAGCGTCAACCCTTGGCTGGGTTTCTACATGAAATGGACATTGTTCTTTGCAGAACGGGAACTACAAGGAGCCATAGTATTTCAAAAAAGTATTGCAAAAAAAATCTGTCTTAATTATGTGCGGTACATCAAAAAGTAGGCGGTTTCCAGGAAGCTTATGTGATGGTTTTAGGGTTTTTTAAAATTAAAAAAAAACACATTGGCCTTGACTTTTGGAACCGGGCCTTGTTACTGTGAGCTGAAGCGAGTGAGCTTTAGCGATGCCAGGACTTTGCAAACATCTGTCTGCTTGAAAGTGCCTAGCAGAGAGGTTTTTACATGAGGAGTGCCCCAGGGGGGTGCATAGTTATGAACTTGGAACTGAAAGTCTTACGAAAGAGGAGAGAGATCATGATGAAACCCACGGGTTTCAAATTGTCAGTTCTGATCGAAGCATTTCTTATGTCTGTTATAACCTGGCCGTTTAAGCCCCCTATAGTCTTTTGTTTTTTTTTTTTTATCTGAAAACGTCAGGCACCCACATACACGGAGGAAATGTTTTACCCCTTACAAAAGCACCGTGTATAATGTGCTGAGGTGTTACTTTTTATTTCCACTTCAAAAATTCTGTTTGGGTGTTCTGGGTGTGCTCTGTGTTTACCAGATTTTATCATCTAAGTTTCTTCAATTCATTTATTAATTCACCCACTCTTTTAATCCATCCCATATTGCTTCGGGCTGTAGGTAGACAGTCTAATGTTAAAATTAAGTGTAAAAATTTATTGAATTGTCTTGTATGTTGTTTGTTATACCTGGGGCACACCCACCAAGACATGCACCAATTCCTTGTATGTCCAGCATAATTGGCCTTGTAGCCAATCAAGATCTTACTGATTCTGATTCATAATAGGAGATGAACTGCCGGAGTTGGACAACACTGCAGATTACTGGCTGGGCTCCATTGCCAGGGCGACGATGCAGACGTACTGCGACGCCATCCTGCAGATCCCCGAGCTGAGTCCCCACGCCACCAAGCAGCTAGCCACAGATATAGGTGGGAGCGGGCGTGGGGTGGAAAATTATATGGCTTGTATTTCTTGTTTTTTCCTATATGAAATTAGATTAGTGTTCAGGTAGTTTCATTTGATCATATTGCTTGAACATTGTGAAAGAAGAGGCCTGAATGTGGTACAAAAATTGTATAGCCCAGTAAGTTAGACATCTGTGCCTGTTTCTGGGTGGCTGTGGGTTCAAATCCCCAAACCTTTCCTCGCATGCACATCGCTTTAGACAAACACATTTGCTAAAACAGGGGTCTCACACTCAGATAACCCAGAGGCCACTGGGTTGAAGGCCGTCACCTCAAGCAGGCCACTTGAGGTTTATTTTTTTATATGTTATACGATAAATTTGCTAATATAGCGTTTAAATTTCTCACATCAGGGGGAGGAAACCGTGGTCCTGCCAGCGAACATAAAAACTGCAAACGTTAATGTTACACATCAGATATGAGGCACACTGCGTCCTGTATCAAATGTGTTACCCATTTTCATTTTAACTTCGTGTCTTCCCATATGACTAATCTGTAACTGATTCTAATTATGGGGATTTCAGGTTGAATTCGACTTCTATTATTATATCTTCGTTATGAATTTCTGCCATATCGCTATCTTGTACTATCTTTGCTTTTTTTTTATCTTAGCATAAAGATAATCTTAGAATGCTGAGTATGCATTTAGTTAATTGAAAGCATGATTTTTTTTTTCTTAGATTTCTTTTTATAACTTTTTCTTCTGGACCAATCAAAATATTACAAGCCCAAAAAATATAAAAGGTCTGAAACCAGTGAAATTACAACACTGGTGTGAGTGATGAGAGTGGGAACTGGCACAGGAATACTGTATAGTGTTCACTGCCCTTTCCACTAGTCCCAGGATGATGTTCCGAGTTTGTAAACGGGCAGCATGAAGTCTATTACAGATATAAATGACGTGGATATAAAATAGTGATACTTTATCCCAATGGGGAAATTGCATATCACATCTTGCTCTATATGAGACATACAGAGACCTGTATATACACAGGTGAGAGCAAATTTTTTTTGGGATCAGAGCAGGTTCTGCCCGCCTTCAGTGCCCCTGCAGCAGTTGAGGTTAAGGGCCCAACAGTGATGTGATTAATCTGTCAGATATGGGATTTGAACCCACAACATTGACAGAACGCCCAAATCGCATGAGCTATACACTACAATTCTCTCTCTCTCTATATATATATACATGCACACACGCACGCACACACACATTACTGGGGATTACATAGGGTACATGGATAAACTGTGGATGCTCCTGTTGTGCAGACTACCTGAGCAATGTGATGGACGCCCTGGGCATGCAGCCTTCTCGGACCCTGCAGCAGATCTCCACCCTGCTGAAGGCCAAGCCCGAGGATTACAGGCAGGCCTCCAAGCTGCTGTCCCGGAGACTCGCCTCTACGGTCGCCGCCATGAGGGGCCTGGAGTACTGAAGGCCGGCCTCCCGGCAGCACACAGGCGTGCTCAAGCGCTCTGCCTGCACCTGGCTCGTCACGCGGCAGGGCAGACCTTTCTTAAATTAATTAATGATAATGACAAAGCGCCATATTCTGTCGTCCCCTGCTGTGGAAGGCCTGCTGCCTCCAGGGAACGTTTTTACACCGTGCTCTCAGCAGAAACTGAGGCTGAAACTGCTTCTATCACCATTTCCTGTGTGAGACCTGGCTCAGTTCAGCGCTGAAAGATTCTGTGTGACATTAAACGTATCACTTTCCTTTGTCTGTATACTGCTGTTTGCTGTTAGTCACCTCACTTTGATCTGGCGAACAGGATTGAAAGGATTGTCCTCACCCACCCAGTTTCTTCTGGGAGCTTTTACATATTTACACATCATCAGGGCATCATAATTTTTTCTGTCAAGTGAAAAAGAAATGTATACTAATTTCCAATGTCTTCACTCTTAAAAGTGCTTATAGAATAGTTTTAATTTATTAATCCATGTAGGGAAATTGGATAGTTTTCTCACTGTTGGGAAGCTGTTGGAGATATACTGGGCCAGCTCTGGCAGTTGCAGAGAAGAAGATTGTGGCAAAAGCCTGCTTGTCTCCTATGTTCGCTGTACCCATCCCACCACATTGTGCTAATAAGCAGAGGTGAACTTTTCAGATCACACTGTGACTTTTTGTGCTCAACTGGTTGGTTGAAACTAAATCTTGGTCTGGATTTTTACATTCTGGACCTGAAATGTTCACCTCTGCTAATAAGTGCTACTGGGTTTTTTTGTGCCTGCTGTGCCCAAACACTTTGTCTTGCATCTTTTTCTTTACATCCATCCTAAGTGGGAAATGCAAAACATTCGACACAATTCAGATTGACTTTATGTAAATGCAAATAAGAAAAAATAGTAATCAAGATGCACCTCGTGTACTGGTAAGCGTTTAAAGCACCATGAAAAGCCAGAAGACTACAAGATTCACCTCCAAGCGCGCACACATATATTTTTTTTGCGGAAGAAAATCGAAGATGACATGTAATACATTTCCTTCAGGTTTAGCTTAGGCCTGTACACAAACACCTGCGCATTTTTCTCCAGGAATCCCCCGCTAAATTTGACTGTGCAGCGAAGATTCAATTTTTTTGTTACATTTTGAAAACTTAACATTTTGTGCGAAAGATTTTGTTGGAGGAGGTTTGCAATTTTGCACAGTTAGGCCTACATATGTAGCTAATAGCTATGTATAGGTTTTCGTACTGGACCTTTAGACGTGACTGGTTTGGAGCTTGAAAACTTAAAAAGAGCCCTGAATTACTGGAAATGAAGTACTAACCCTGCCTGTTTAGGGGCTCCGTAACAGTGATTTCGGACAACACTGTATTTCCTTGTGAGCACGGAGGTACCTGATAAAGCCTATTAGAACAAAAGCAGTTTGCACAAGATAATCCTCTGAAAAAGGATTACAAAACATAAATTTCACCGACAAAATACAGCGATATAAATATTAGTGGGGTACTAAAATACAATGGTCGCCAGAATCTATCCATTTTTTTTCCTCAAACGAATGATTAAAAAAAAAAAAAAAAGACACAAAAAGTGGAGAAACCCAATACTTCTGCTTTTAAAAAGGTTACAATGCTTAAAACAGGAGTCACACAAATGCCTGAATTAAGTTTCGAAAGTATTTATTTAGACGCTGTACTGCTCTGCGAGGATCAAAGTGACCCTCTTTACTTAGAATATGATACCTTCAGTAAATACACACAAGAAATACAGGTTAAACAAATGAAGAAGACAAGTTACTGAAACAAAAGTATACAGGTAAGCAATCACATTAAAATACACACGACATAAGCTCTGTAACACTAAATCTGATGATTATTCGCACATCAGCCATGTTCCCGGTATGCTGCACGCTGCTCGCCGCAAAGCCCATGGCTAGATCACTGTCCCCTGCTCCAGCTACGCCGAGGAGCAGCACGGCTTGCAGAGGCGGAGAGCGGCGGTGTCGGGGGACCCCAGCGATCCCGATCGGCCCGCCCTCGCTCCTTCCCAGCGGGTGGCGGGCCCGATACCTGCGGCCCCTCGGCTTCACGCCGGTCGCCCGCCCGTGACGTCAGACGCCACCACCGCCCTGCCTGCGGTGTCAGTGATTTCAGCTGATGGGGAAAGCGGGGCCTCCGCTTCAATGGATCACCGATCGGGATTAACCTTCCAGTTTCCAGCCTGGCCAGCACCGACGAACCGCATCGGATGCCTCAGGAAATATGCGTTTTCCACGGCGCCCGTCTATCCAGCTCCCCCCTCCAGGAAACGGCCCTTTTGTGTCTGCGGTGGGATCTGAGAGAGGGTCTCTTTTCTTTAGCTGGCGTCTCGGCAAAAGAGGCGTAAACACTGGCAGCAATTTTGGAGAATCGCTAACCGGGGAGGAGAAAAGGATCAATTACACTGGCGCCGGGAATTAGCTTTGGGATAAATAGGCTTATTTGCAATTAATATAGGGAAAAGCAAGGAATGCCGATCAAGGGGTGGAGCTGCGGTTTGTTTAATAATACATGAGTCCAGTGGAAATGAAGAGGTCAGTCCTATGGTCGTGTCTCGTAGTGTTACTGTTTGTCTAAAGGATGCATGGACTGTACTTTCCGATACGGCCCGTTAACCTCTCGCTAAAGCCCGCAAGGTTATACAGTGAAGTGTATCAGATTTATATATCTCGATCGCTAGCTGGTTACGTCCTGTCATCTTTCCGATTTGACGTGTTTATTGTGCTCACCAAAATGACTTAACGGGATCTATTAGGCATCTATCAAACAATCTGCCTGATACAGACTTGCCGATGCGATTAGTTCCGGGACGACCACAGAGATGTGTGGAGCCTGCAGAGCATGTAAATAAAGGGACACCGCTTCTTTTGATTAAGGATTTTTTTTTTTTTTAATCTGTACTGGAAAAGATTTGTAACCATGATTATTGAGACGGAACTTATTTTTGACAAGGTGAGGTAGACATTTTTATAGGAAACTTCCTTATTATTTGGGTATTATGGCAACGACCCGGTGAAGTTTTTACCTGGCCAGGTTGTGTGCCAGTTGTTTCTCCTTTATACCATCCAAGAACTGCCATCATGTCTAAAGCAGCAACTAAAGAGAAGAAATCTTTCAGCAAGAAGCTCTTTCAGAGAGGCTCTGTCCGATCAGTGGGCAGTTTTATGAACCGAGTCCTTCGGACCCTCTCTACCTTGTCTCATTTTGGCACGGAAGAGCATACCACAGAAAATGAAAAGGATGATGGAGGATTCACCTCCTTTAAGACCGGGGCAGCCGTACCTTCAGACAGGAGTGATGGTGGCAGTTGTAGCTTTCTCTTTGGGGACAAGATCCCAGGCGTGTCTGGCCTCAAGAATCATGGCAACACTTGTTTTATGAACGCGATTTTGCAGTGTCTTAGCAACACGGAGCTGTTCGCCGAGTACCTGGCGCTGGAACAGTATCGCGGGGAAGACAAGGATGACAAGTCCAAGGCTAATGGTGTGTTTCTGCCACGAAAGAGTTCTCAAGGAAAAGGGGAGGTCACAGAGCAACTCTCTGGGCTGGTTAGGGCTTTATGGACCTTTGAGTACACACCTCAACACAGCCGCGAGTTCAAGGTAAGTAGGTAAGAACTACTGGCTTATTCTGTGCTGTGTGTTTGGCTTTAACATGCAGCAGATGGGCTCCCTATAGTGGCTCCCTGGTGACCTCACCTCAGAAGACCTAAAAAGAGTGTCTACTCTGCTGAAGTGCGCTTTGATCTCTCTGCCTAGATGCTGCCTTTCATGCCTTAATGCTGAATCTCCAGCCACCTGAACCCCTTATGGATATATGTGTGTGTGTGTGTGTATGTATGTATGTATGTATGTATGTATATATATATATTACACACACACACATGCAGACACTCATGTATCTAACCCACCCAGTTGCTTGCTTGCTTCTTTGTTTGTTTTTGGGGGGTGGGGTTACCTATGTGCCATAACTCACTTACACTCACAGTAATTTCATGTTCTTGAAACACTGGAGAGCTTCTCTCCACCCTGGTTTAATCGCTAATTAATCAAGGATGTCTAGGTTCTGTTTGACTAGGCTCTGTTTGAACGGTGTTGTGCAGCTGCTCTAATGCTTCTTACACTTGTTATTGGTCACTGATTGGATGCTCAGCCAAGCTTACTTCTTCACAGATGTATGTTTGTAAGGTACTATTTGCCTCACCTGGACATGTACGGCAGTATGTGTTATAAATTTACCATGGTATACATATACACTATATTAGCCATAACATTAACACGACTCACAGGTGACATGAATAACACCGATTAACTTGTTACAGTAGCACCCATCAAGACAATAAAAAAGTCAGCTCTTGAAACTGATGTGTTGGAAGCAGGAAAAATGGACAAGCGTAAGGATCTGAGCGCCTTTGGCAAAGGCCAAACTGTGATGACTAGATGACTGGGTTAGAGCATCACCAAAATGGCAGGTCTTGTGGGGTGTTCTGGGTATGCAGTGGTCAGTACCTACCAAAAGTGGTCCAAGACAGGCCAACTGGTGAACTGGCGATGGGGTCATGGGCACCAAAGGCTCACTGATGCATGTAAGGAGTGAAAGCTAGCTTGTCTGGTCTGATTCCACAGGAGAGCTACTATAGCACATATTGCTGAATTAATGCTGGCTCTGATAGAAAGGTGTCAGAACACACAGTGCATCTCAGGTTGTGGTAGGGGCTGTACAGCCACAGACCAATCAGAGTGCCCATGCTGACCGCTCTCCACCTCTGAAAGCACCTACATTGGGCACATGAGCATCAGAACTGGACCATGAAGCAATGGTAGAAGGTGGCCTGGTCTGATGAGTCATATTTTCTGTTGACATCATTTGGACAGACAGGTTCATGTCCGTTGTTTACTTGGGGAAGAGGTGGCACCAGGATGCACTATGGGAAGAAGGCAAGCTGGCAGAGGTAGAGTGATGCTCTGGGCAATGTTCTGCTGGGGAACCTGGGTCTTTGAATTCATATGGATGTTACTTTGATTTGTACCGCATGTACTTAAATATTGTTGTAGGCCAAGTGCACCCCTTCATGACAACAGCATTCCCTGATGGCAATGGCTTCGTTCAGCAAGATAATGCACCCTGCCACACTGCAGAAGTTGTTCAGGAATGGTTTGAGGAACATGAAAAAGAGTTTAAGGTGTTGATTTGGCCATGAAATTCCCCAGATCTCACTCCGATCGAATATCTGTGGGATGTGATGGACAAACAAGTCTGATCCATGGAGGCTCCACCTCGCAACTTACAGGACTTACAGGATCTGCTGCTAATGTCTTGGTGCCAGATACCACAGGACACCTTCAGAGGTCTTGTGGAGCCCATACCTCGATGAGTCAGAGCTGTTTTGGAGGTACAAGGGGGACCTACTCAATATTAGGCAGATGGTTTTAATATTATTCCTGATTAGTGTATGTTTGATATATTTATGGTCTGTCAAGTGTCGAGTCTGATTCCTGTTTAATTTTAATCTGAAATAAATCCTGCTCGGTATATACCGATGAGCCAAAACTTTATGACCATCCCCCACTCAGAGAGAATAATGTTGATTATCTAGTAAAAGCAGTGCGTGTCAATGTCTGGGATATAGTAGACAGTAAGCTTACATTCAGTACGCTAGTTCACATGTTGAATGCAGAATAAATGGACAGGGATGAAGATATGAGTAACTTTAACAGGGGCCAAATCATAATGGTCAGATGACTGGGCCAGAGCGTCCCTGAAACAGCAAGGCTAGTAAGGTGCTCATGGTCAGCCCTGGTGAGGACCTCCTGAGAGCGGTCTGAGGAGGGAAAAGCCATGAACAGCCAACAGGGGAGTGGACAGCAAGAACTCGTCAATGTGGGAAGTGAATGAAGACTATCCAGTCTGGTACACAACAACAGAAGGACTACTGTGACACAAATTGCAGATATTTTTGATGATTGAAACAAGAGTAATGTGTCATGACACACAGTGCATGTGGGCCTACTGGTTTCTTGCCCTGGATTGTCTTCAGGGTAGCATTTTATGGCTTGAACATCGCCTGAAGTTCCTTAGATGTTCCTGAGCAGTTTCTGCACTGTAGGTCGGGGGAGACACATGGCTGTTGTGTGTGTACATTCTTTCACTTCCATTAAAGGTGAATTACAGTCACCAATTCACCCAGTCTGTGGAATGTGAGTGGGAACCAGAGTACCTCCAGCAAACGCCGACAAACTGGCTGAATGTGCAAACACTGCACAGGCAGGTCTGAGGTTAGCTTTGAATGCATAACCAAGAGGGCCGTCATATAGTCATGCTAACCCACTGCCCTCACTACCTAATTTGTCTTCTTGCAATCTCTCTCTGCTTTCTAAGTTTTTGTATTTTGCCTTTTTCTGTTTCTGAGAGAATGTTTTCTTCCTTTCTGGTGCAACCTCAGTTCACTGTGCTTACTTCCAGTTGTTGACAGTGACCCAAAGTTTTATTTTGGCTGTGGTTTTGCGAGACTGACTCTGTCAGCTGAAACACAGGGTGTATGAGGGTTCGGAGATGCAGTAAAAAGCAACCGAGAACTTTAAAAAGTTTGTCAATAAAACATTTTCTCAGTTCTTTCGCACTAGCCCTTAGGCAAGTTTTAATACATAAATGCATAAATTAACATAAAACCTAAATAAACCCAAGTAAAGCAAAATAATGGAGACAGAACATTACAACCGATAGAATAAGTCTACATGCATAGTTTAAGTTATACAGAGGTACCCTATTCCCTGCCTTATTCTCATTCTGTATATTGAAACATACTCTCCATGTACAGGAATGCTTTTCTAATGGTTCTGCTGCAATAAGGCCAGCCTTGTTGTTCCTTAAAACTCTTACTCTCTGCCCTGACCTGCATGTTTCTTTGGGTGAGTCACCTGGCAAATAAACAGACCTACGTACAATCTACTGCAATACCTAATCCCGCTTTAAAATCTTCCACCACTTAAGTAGTCTTAATTTTTGGCTTTGGCGTTTTTTGTTTTTTTTTTTGTGGTGTTTCGGGATCCTACTGTTCCAGCGGTGAATTGGATACTCAGCCTTGTGTGTGCTCTGTCTGATATTCTAGAGAATTTCATTATTACTCTGATTTAGCGTGTGGGAGAATGTCCCACTTCTGCATGCCAGATAAAGGCATTCCCAATGTTCTTTAATATTTGATGCTGTTAAAATGTATGTTTAAGATTATATTGAATAAATGCCATTGTCAAAAGAGCAGTCTGGTCTCCCTAACTGATTGATCAGTGCAGCGCATGTTGTTGCTGATATAGGTTAGGCCTGTTGAAGTCAGTGTGTGGATAACAGCCGGCGCCACACAAACAAATTCACTTCATGGCACCCTTTCTCCAAAACAGAGTTTGTAGGCAGAGGAGATAAACTAGAGTTCCTTTCAGGGCTTCTAGAAGCCAAAAAAAACAGTAAGACGTAGATGTGTGGTACGGAGCACAGTCCAAGTTCTTCTGCGGTCTGTATTTGCTGATGGCTGCATTTACCAGAAAGTGGTTGGTTTCCTTTTTCCCCCTTTCCTCTTGGTTGGCCAGGACTAAAGCAGCCTAGGAGTGATTGCCATCCCCTGGAATGTGGAGCGCATCTGCAGGCAGTAGACCAGGGTTTGCACTTCTGTGTAACTGTTGGCCACAAGAGATGTTCCAGGGGTTGTTGCAGGAGAAAGAGTGGCAAAATCAGTGAAGCTAAACGTTGTGCTCTGTTTACAATGCTCTTCAAGTGTCGACATGGCGATGGTCTTAAACTGAAAGCATGCAAAGGTGAACTTATGACCGATTCAAAGCTAGAGCTAAAACTTCTAGCTACTGAAGGAACATCGCCAATAGGTCCGATTATGTACGTAATCGGCATTATTACTTTTTTTGATCACGGGCCCTGTGTGTTTAAAGGTAACACTGCAGGGAACAGTAGATGGGCTGTAACACAATACAGTGGCCAAAACCTCACCTTATTTTCACTTTAGCCAGAACATTCTCAGTATGTGCTGATGCTGATGAGGACGGGGTTGTTTCCAGGTCACACCTAGTAGAGGTTCACCTGCGTCCCGCCCTGCTCGCTGAAAGGAAATATTTTGGGGAACATATTGAACTGAGTCCCGTACTACACTTCCTATTCCTGACATTGCTGCTATTTCTGTCTCTTTGTTCCTCTGGCTGCCAGCGAGATTATTTAATATAGATTGTTTACTCCCCAGTGTGAGGCCTCACATCTTGCCATGGTAGGTATTTGCTGGAACCTGCAGGCTTCTGTGCTTGTTAGCTTTGCTTTTGATATGCATTCCTGCAGAAAGTTTAAGATTGCTGGTGGACACTTGTTACATATGGGTAGAAGTGGGTACTTGTCTTTAAGAGACAAATCTTTACCCTCTTGTAATACCTGGGCTCACTGTCTTTCTGTAAATCCATCCATCTTCCAAGCCCTTAACTGGCTCTGGGTCACAGGGTTGCCTGGAGTCTATCCCAGGCAGCATCGGGCAGCAGGTTGGGGTACGTCCAGGATTACATGGCCCTTACTCATGCTATGATTAGCTGTAGGCAATTAAAGGTGGCAGTTAGCCGAACTGCATGTTTTTTGGACTGCAGGAGGAAACCTGCATGGGAGACCATGCAAACCTCACACTCTGCCCCACCCAGAGCCGCAAGACATGCCACCCTCTTCCTATAAACAAGCAAAATAATATTTAATCAACATCGAGCATAAGCTTTAGTTCCACCTACATTGGCTCTCCTCATGTGACCTTTTTTCAGACAATGTGGTTTATTTAAAATACTTGTGAATGAAGAGTGTTTTTTTGAAGGTATCTCTAACCGCAAACTTTTTATCAGTTTATGCATTTTAAACTGTTGATTGATAAGCCTTGGGGTTTTTTGTGGCAAGACACTCGTAAACCTCATGACAGGCCATGTCGACCTGCAGTTAAGATATATAATGAACCCTGCAGTCTAACAAAAATATTACTAGCACTATACTAAATATACTTACTCCTTCCCTTCCCTCTGATTGACTGTTTTGTGACCTAGATTGTGTGGGGAAGCCTTGTAGGAACGTGGAGCCCAAAATTTTATTGTTAGTAGTGATCATTTACAACAGGAGGTTTGCAGTCTTTCTTTGTTTAGGGACTCCCAAATAGAAGCACCGGAGCTGCGGAACCCCCTTCCACTAAAGTGTGATCACATTAGTAGCCAGAGTATAGGACCAGGGGGTAGGGGTTGGTCCCCCATTAATATTTACATTTCATCAACTTCCAATGAATCACATAAGTAACTCAGGATTTAGGACTGGGGGGGGGGGGGGTTACCTTTAAATATTTACCATTCATCAACTGGATGAATTTTTGCAGAAGCCCCGCAGGGGGGCTTGACCCTCAGGTTGTAAGCCAGCAATTATAGAGCCTCTTGTGGGCATGTTATTCCATCATGGCTACATTTCCTCCCAGTTCCACCGCCACCCGTAAACACAGCCAGCCTCAGTCCTCCTAAACCACATGGTACTATTTAGTATCTGAAAGCCCCACAAAACCTTTTCAGAATCTGCTTAAAGTTTGTTTTGTTTCCTGATTTGTTTTTTTTTTTTTTTTTTCCTGGCTGTGAAAAATTCTCAGTAATTCAGCATTTGACTGGTGCCCTGTTCTGTCAGGGATGGTGAATGTTCAGCGGTTTGAAATGAAAGATGTGGTGGTTATCTGTGTGAGCCCTGATTGGCCAAAAGGACTTCACCCTTTCCTGGTAATCTTTGGATTGACTCTCCTACTACCTCCTCGTGTATATTTATCCGCATGAGTGAGTCAGTCTAGAGACCTTTGTCAAACCTGTTGTGAGATCTCTAATATCATGTGCAATCTCCTTTAATCTCATGTGAGGTCTTCCGGCATCTAAAAAAAAGATATGACTCATAACAGTAAGATTTGTCACACAGAGATAATCTATATTGGCAGGGCTCTGAACAAAAACAAGCTCCCTGAATCATGTCCATCGGTTTCTTGTCTTTATTCCTTGCTATATTACATCTGCTTGAAATGAGTATCTGTCTAACCATCAACAAGACACTTCAGAGTGATGAAGTTTTCTGTGTGCTTTACTCAGAGTGCAGTGACTTCATATGCTTGCCGGTTCCAGGGAAATGGTGTTTGTGTTCTTGTTTGAGCATCATTTTCAGATATGCATAATTTACATGGAGAACCTTGAAGCATAAATATTAAAATTTAATAGTTCTGGCAATTAACCTGCATACTGCAGAAGTATAATAATAATAATAATAACAACAATAATTAATAACGATATATAATAATAATAATAATAATAATAATAATAATAATTATTATTATTATTATTATTATTATTATTGTTATTATTATTATTATATTTCTTCAGTATAGTAAACTTTCTGTGTCTCATGATGATGATGCGGACTAGTAGTAATAGTAACAATAATAATAATGATGATTAAGTACGAGTCTGGGTATATCGCAATTCTATGGTTTTCACATATCCCATCTTGCTGTTCTATGAAACGCACATATAGGTCAGCTAGGAGCTTGGAAGGTTAGTACTTTATCCTGCACCTCTGGAGTAGTTCTGAGGGATTAGGGCCGAGCCCAAGGGCCCAAAAATGGCATGATTGCTGGCCATTGCATTGATTTGAACTGCTGAGCTTTTGGACATAAACCTGCAGAGCTTCTACTAGGACAACCAATCTTCAGGCTACAAGGATGTATTCTTAAAGGTCACACCGCTAGGTTAATAGATATTGAACTTTTTGAACATGGATTTTTTTTAATAGTCTCTGGCAGCTCAGTACTAACTGCCCACCTTCACCTTTTTCCCTGCTGCCTGTTCCTCTTTGCCTTCCTCAGAACGTCGTGTCCAAGAGCGCTACGCAGTTCAGAGGTAATTCCCAGCATGACGCACAGGAGTTCCTCCTCTGGCTGCTCGACCGCGTGCATGAGGACCTCAACATACTTGTCAACCCCAGCTGCAGGACCTCCGTCAAGGTCAGCAGACCTGAACTGGCTACATGTGATTTGTCTAGCTTTCACTGGGTGTTATGACTCGGGAGGAAATTTTTTGGCCGTAAGAGCACAAGTGGTGAGCCGTACATTGCTCTGATTTACAACCTTGACAAACTCCTCAGAGTCAAGCACCAAAACTTTAGTCTCATGTGTAACATGAATCTGCTCGTGGCCCAGGAATGTTTGACCCCGAGCAAAATGCATTATGCATATATCACGCAGAGGCTGGCTGTTGTGCTGTTGTGCTAATGTGGATTCATTCAGATTTTTTTCTTTGCTTTGCAGACATGTCCTGCATTAAGGCCTCTAGGTCTGTCCCTAGACCCTTTTAGTTTTTGTTGCACACAAAAATGTATACCATGGTTAGGGAATAAAAATGATTTAAGCTTTTCATGTGTGGTGTCCACGCTTGTTAACAGGTGATTTAAGACTGTTTTAGATAAATTTAAGATACTATTGGGTTTGTGGAAAATTGACAGCCAAGGATGTCAGACAGCCAAGTTTCATCTAAGAAAAAGTCTGTTCAATTCTGCCTATGAAATTTAGTGTGGTTTAGGAAAACAATCTAAAAACTTTTGAGTCTGTTTTTTTTGTAATGCATGAAAGGGTTAATGATGCTCTTAGGTCTGAAAAAGTTGCGCGTGTTTAACACGCCCACAGCCCAGCCTACGTTGGGAACTCTAAGTCCTTTTTCTGCTCTGGTTTTCCTTCATCACACCTTCCCTCTCTTTCAGCCCCCATTGGAGGACAGTGATGCAGCTTCAGAAGGACCATCGCTGGCAGCGACTGGCTCTTTTGTGCAGGAGCTTTTTCAGGCACAGTACAGGTACGGTGGGGATGATTCGCCATCGCGTTTAGTTGAATGCGTTTACAACAGAAACTTGTCCTGACTTTAATGTGTGTTCTTCCATTCTTCCCTCCAGGTCTTCGCTCACCTGCCCTCATTGCCAAAAACAGAGCAACACCTTTGATCCCTTCCTCTGTATCTCTCTGCCCATCCCCTTACCTCATACCAGGTATGTCACCCTGGCCATCTGTGACCCTTATCTTATGTGACTTTGGATGTAGTATTCTGCAGGAAGTACACCCTGGCCATCTGTGACTTTTGTCTTATGTGACTTTGGATGTAGTATTCTTACAGGAAGTACACCCTGGCCATCTGTGAGCCTTGTCTTATGTGACTTTGGATGTAGTATTCTTACAGGAAGTACACC